CGCGGGGATTTGCCCTAGGCAGTGGCGGCGAAGGAGAGAGGCCGAGAAAGATCGATCGGCCGAAAACGTTAAGTGTTGGTGGAGAAAACAAGGGCGCACCGGGAAAATATATACCCCCGGATCTTTACTCCCGGTTGTTCCCATCAACCGGGAGTAAAGATATTTTCCCGCTATTTCCAAATTCTTTTTAAACCCGGTTAGGGTTAAGAACCGGGACTAAAGATTATAGCACTGCATATTATTTTCGCTTATATATGTGTTTCGTTAATGCATTAACATTATTAAAGGTACAAAGATTAATGACAATTACTTCGAAAAATTATTTTTGTCTGTAATAAATTAAGTGGATAAATCGTAATAAGCAAATATATGACTTAAAATTAATAAAAATTCCAATAATCATCTATACTTAGCATATGAATGATGTTATTAAATTGGTAAAAACTCTAATTAAGATATGTATGTACATACTGCAAGATTTAAAATTAATAAAAATTGTAATCATCATATATACTTAGTGTAGGAATTATATTAAATTAAATGTTAAAAACTCTAATTAACATATGTAAATGCCACATGCATGATTTAAACCTTTTAAAAATTCGAATAGTCATATATAAGTAGCATATGAAAGATAGTAAATTAAATTGTGAAAAACTCTAATTAACATCTGTAAATGCCACATGAATGATTTAATACTTTTAAAAATTCTCTAGTCAATTATAATTAGCATATGAATGATAGTCAATTAAATGTAGCATATGAATGATAGTAAATTATGCCATACATCAATTGATTTATATGGATAATCAATACATCCAAAATAGTTTACATCGTGTACACAATAATTACGTCATTACATCGGCGGTGACGGTTGACCGCACGTACTTTCTCCTCACTATTGTTCCCTCCTTGTGATCGCTGCGTGAGTAAGGGGTGTCTTCGTTTGATAGGAGGATGCTAGGGTCAATCGTCACCGTGAAAGGGGGTTGCCTATCCAACTGATTGTAATCCTCGTCAGTCTTGTCCTCAACTCCGACGATTTTTCTTTTGCCTGGGAGAACCACTTGACGCTTAGGCTCGTCAGGCCCTCTGCCCTTCTTTCCTTTGCTAGACATGTCCTTCACGAAAAATACTTGCGTTACATTATTGGCAAGGACAAAAGGTTCGTCCGAGTATCCAACCTTGTTAAGGTCAACAGTTGTCATACCACTGTCATCAATCATTACGCCTCCACCAGTCAACCTAACCCATTGGCACCGGAACAGAGGAACCTTGAGAGGACCATAGTCAAGTTCCCATATATCCTCGATGGCACTGTAATACGTGGCAGTTGTTCCATCGTGTCCCATGGCATCGACACAAACAGCGCTGTTTTGGTTCGTGCTCTTCATGTCTTGGGCTCTCATGTAGAATGTGTACCCATTGATCTCATATCCCTGGAATGTCGCGATCGACCCAGACGGTCCCCTCGCCAGGAAGGCAAGTTGTTGGTTGATCGACTCGTTACCCATGAGATGTTGTCGTAGCCACGTGGGGAAAGTATCAATGTGATGTCGTGTAATCCATGCATCGGACTTACCGATGTTCCTGGCGCGAACTAGAGCCAAGTGCTCCTCGATGTAAGGAGCTACCAATGAAGAGTGTTGCAGAACAGTGAAATGGGCTTTACGGAATAAATTGTTATCTACCGTCATTATTGCTTTCCTTCCGAGAGTTCCCTTTTCCCGTAGTCTCCCTTCATGGCGTGATTCAGGTACCCCGATTGGGCGAAGGTCTTCGATAAATTCTACGCAAAATTCGATGACCTCATCTGTTCCATAACCCTTGGCGATGCTTGCCTCTGGACGAGCACGGTTACGAACATACTTCTTCAGAACGCCCATGTACCTCTCGAAAGGAAACATGTTGTGTAGGTATACAGGCCCGAGAATACGGATCTCTTTCACAAGGTGACAAAGCAGATGCGTCATTATATTGAAAAATGAAGGTAGAAATATCAACTCAAAACTGACGAGACATTGCACCACTTCATTCTGAAGGGCTTCTAATCTATCCGGATCGATGACCTTCTGCGAAATTGCGTTCATGAATGCACATAGCTTTGTTATGGTTCCGGGTGAAGGTCGCCGCGTTGTTCCATATGCTTCAGATCATTACGTGCTTCCAGTGTATCTTTCAACTTTCCGTATACACCTAGGAAGCCAAGAAGGTTTACGCAAAGGTTCTTAGTGAGGTGCATCACGTCGATTGCGTGGCGTACGTCCAAGAATTCCCAATATGGTAACTCCCAAAATATAGAGTTCTTTTTCCACATCGCCGCGTGACCATCTTCGCTCTCTATAGGCTGGCTTCCAGGCCCCTTTCCGAACACTACTTTAAGATCTTTAACCATAGCAAACACTGTTTTCCCGCTGTGATGTTTAGGCTTCGTACGGTGGCTGTTTTCCCGCTGCGATGTTTAGGCTTCGTACGGTGGTCGGCCTTATGTTGGAAGTGCTTGCCTTTCTTCCGTACCGAGTGGTTTGCTGCAAGGAATCGACGATGACCCATGTATACAACCTTCCTACAGTGCTTAAGATACATACTTTCTGTTTCATCCATACAGTGAGTGCAAGCCTTGTACCCCTTGTTGGACTGTCCGGATAGGTTGCTAAGGGCAGGCCAATCGTTGATGGTTACGAACAGCAGCGCTCGTAGGTTAAACTCCACCTGTTTGTCCTCGTCCCACACGGGGACACCTTCCTTCTTCCACAACTGTTTAAGATCTTTAATCAGTGGTCTTAGGTACACATCGATGTCGTTACCAAATTGCTTGGGGCCTTGAATAATAATCGGCATCATTATGTACTTCCTCTTCATGCATAGCCAGGGGGGGAGGTTGTAGATACACATCGTAACGGGCCAAGTGCTATGGCCGCTGCTCATCTCTCCAAAAGGATTCATGCCATCCGTACTCAAACCAAACCGTATGTTTCGTGCGTCCTTTCCAAATTCTTTAATTTTTCTGTCGATGTTTCGCCACTGCGAACCATCGGCGGGGTGTCTCAGCATCCCGTCCTGTTGACGCTCTTCAGCGTGCCATCACAACATTCTAGCATTCCCCTTGTTCCTGAACAAACGCCTTAGCCGTGGTATTATAGGGAAATACCACATCACCTTAGCAGGAATTCTCTTCTTTTTTAGCTGCCCGTCAACTTCTCCTGGATCGTCTCGTCTAATCTTGTATCGTAGTGCTTTGCAAACACGGTATGCTTCTAGGTTTTCATACTCCTCACCGCGATATAGGATACAATCGTTCGGACATGCGTGAATCTTATGAACTTCCAGTCCTAACGGACAGACTATCTTCTTAGCCTCGTACGTTGTCTCGGGCAATTTGTTTCCCCCCGGAAGAATGTTCTTGACGAGTTTCAATAAATCGCTAAATGCTTTGTCACTAACCCCATTTTTTGCCTTCCATTGCAAGAACTCCAGAGTGGTATCCAACGTTTTGTGCCCCTGCTCGCAACCTGGGTACAACGAAGTTCTGTGGTCCTCCACCATCTTGTCCAATTTATGGGCCTCCTTTTCACTTTCGCAGTCCTCCCTGGCATCCTGCAACATCTCACCAAGATCATCCGCAACGTCGTTACCATCAGCAGCTATTTCCTCCTCGCCCGTTTGATTTTCTTCAAATCCAACATACTGAGTAAAGTCCGGAATATTGTCGTCTTCCACTTCATCTTCTTCCATTTCAACACCTTGCTCTCCGTGGGATGTCCAACAATTATAGCTTGGCATGAACCCCGACTCAAACAAGTGGAAATGAATAGTCCTAGATGCAGAATACTCCTTCTGATTCTTACAATTATTGCATGGACAACAAATAAAACCCCTTTGCCTGTTAGCTTCGGCCACTCTCAAAAAATAGTGCACGCCGTCAATAAACTCTTTGGACCACCGGTCAGCGTACATCCATTGCCGATCCATCTACATGAGTCAAAAAAAACCGTACATAAATAATTATTCTTACAATAATGACAGTCATACAATAATTATAAGATATCTTTATTCATACAAAAATCATAAAATATTACACCAAATAATTCTTAAAAACTATTTGTAAAGTTTTAAACTAATTTTAATGTGTTTTACTTCTTTTAATTTTCATTTTAGTTTGTTTTCTATTATTTAAGATTAACTTTCACTAGAGTTTTCCTTCTCAACTATTTTATAAAACCTTGTTTAGCAAATGAACTAAATTTCTATATATTCTTTCTTCCCCACACACATTTTCGCTCTCATCAACTTACAACTAAATTTTGGAGACAAAAAAAAGTGTGCAAAATATAGGTGCAAATGTAGTATGAAAAAACAAAACATTGGAGGATGAAGTTGCAAACCTTTTAGGCACCTCCGATTTGTATGTAATCACCAAAATAAATTCAATAGAAATTTTGGCATGACCTCCCCTCTTTTTTGAAGAAATTTTAAAGCTTGCTCGGGCAGCTGGAGGAGGAAGAAGACATATATATAGGGGTGGGACTTTAGTCCCGGTTGGTAGCACCAACCGGGGCTAAAGATCACCAGGATCTTTAGCCCCGGTTGGTAATACCAACCGGGACTAAAGTTACGATCTTTAGTCCCGGTTAATACCAACCGGGACTAAAGTTACCAACCGGGAATAAAGATCCCGGGGGAGCCTGACATGCCCTGACAGCATTCGAACCGGGACTAAAGATGATCTTTAGTCCCTGTTGGTGTTACCTACCTGGACTAAAGATCAAATATGCCCGTTACCCTTTTGAACCGGGACTAAAGATCATCTTTAGCCCCGGTTTTTATTGCATCCGGGACTATTGTGGAAATCGGCCGACCGACGAAAGATGGTTTCTCCACCAGTGTCAATCAGTTAAATTTGATGTTACTGGATTTATCATTTAAAAACTATCATAATATGCAAATATTTTTATTTAAAACATGTTACTTTCATAGATATTGTTGGACAAAGTTGCATCTCAGATACTATATCAATGTCCAAAAATATTTATATTTTGGGACTGGGGAGTACTTACTAGCGTTTGTACGGGATTCTTCATCAGATAATTAATTAACGACATACAACGAGATGATTGGTATCAACAGTAGCTCGCTGCAAACGTGGGAGCCGGGCGAGCCGCGGGAAATATCACAAACTAGCTGCACACGCGAATCAGAGCAACGGGCAGGACAGCCGCGGCGATGGCACGGCGCACAGCCGCTCAGCCTTGGGCGCGGTGAGCCCGAACACGTCGTCCATGTCGAGCTCGAGCGGCTCCGTCCCAGCTGGCAGCGACCAGTCGAAGCAGTGCAGGAGCTCCGCGAGGCCGAGCTCCACGGCGAACATCCCCAGCTGCATCCCCGGGCACGACCGCCGCCCGGACCCGAACGGCAGGTACTGGAAGTCCCCACCCTTGAACTCCACGCGCGCGCTCTCGTCGGCGAACCGCGACGGCCGGAACGCCGCCGCGTCGGTCCCCCACAGCGCCTCGTCGCGGCACATGGCCTAGTTGTTGATCCAGATGCGCGACCCGCGAGGGACAGTGTAGCCCCCGATGGCGCAGTCGTGGAGGCTCTCGCGGAGGAGGAGCGGCAGCGGCGGGTGGAGACGGAGCACCTCCTTGGTGACGCACCTGAGGTGGGGGAGGTTGTCGAGGTCGTCCTGGTTGACCCTGCGGCGGAGGCCAACCACGCCGGCTAGCTCGTCCTGCGCGCGCTTCAGTTCGTCTGGGTTGCGCAGGAGCTCCGACAGCGCCCACTCCACCGTGGACGCCACTGTCTTCGTGCCGCCGAACATGATGTCCTACACGGATCCATGGAAGCTTGGATTAGCTGCCGTGGAGAGTTGTGAAAAGATGGCAGAAGCTAATTACACGTTACGTGCCATGATTAGCCCCTTGATGTTGTCTCTGGTCAGGTGGAGGTCACCGAGTTCGACGCCGTCGGCTCTCTTGTGTCGTCCGCCGGGAGCGTCGACGAGGTACGCGATCATGTCGTCCACCATGTCGGACGCCGACACGTCGCCGTTCCTCAACTTGGCCAGGTGCTCGTCGATGATCCGGTCGATGAAAACGTCCAGCGCGTGCCTCGCCGCCGCCATCCTCTTACCGATGCCGTTGAGATCGAGCCACCCGAGGCAAGGGATGTAGTCTCCCATGTTGAACGCCATGAAGATCTCCGAGAGCTCGAGGATGATGTCGACGAACACCTTCTCGTCCTCCCGGCTCTGTGCACCGAACGCCGCCCGGAAGGTCACGTTGGTGGCGAACTTGAATACCAGATCACCGACACTGCCCGCGACTCGGCGCAGCTCGGCAACGGACCTGACGAGGGCGTCCACCTCGCCGCGCACGACGCGCCACGAGACGTCGCGCCGGGGGCTGAAGAGCTTGAGCACGCAGAGCTTGCGCATCTGGCGCCAGAACGGGCCGTAGTGCGCGAACGCCATGTCGGCCAGGTCGTAGGAGACGTACACCATGGCGGCCGTGACCGGACAGTGCGAGAAGACGCTGTCGTTCTCGTGTATGATCTCCCTCACCGTCTCCGGCGATGACACCACGAACACGTTCGGCTGGCCAACGCGGAGGTGGAAGAAGCCGCCGTGGATCTTGGAGAGCTTGGCGAGGCCGCGGTGGGTGAACTGATGCACGGACAGCAGGTTGCCGAGGACGGGCAAGCCGGGAGGCCCGGGCGGGAGGAGGATGGCTGTTCGACGGAGTCGGCTGGCGTACCAGAGGAAGAAGGCGATGCTGATCAATGAAGCGGTGACGAAGTAGGCATCTTGACTGTAGTACTCCATAGAGTGATCACTTCACTAAGGATTACTACACACTAACAAGTTCAATAGCGTGTTTATATAATGTTCGCGAGTTCCATATATTATATATAGCTGCTCAATTATGTTGTTTCTATTGTAAAACTACAAAAATAATATACTAAGACATCACGTGTATGAGGTAGGTGACATATCCAATGGAGCATGCACGATTATATATTTCTATATGGTTGGAAACTTTCCTCGAAGCTTTCATCACAACTTTAGGAGAAATAAAAACTATCAAATTCTCGCGTTAATCAGAAGGGGATTACTTGTGACTGAATTTGTCACCTTCAACTTCTACGCCAGTTTTCATGAAAAAAGGCATCCCTTCATCATCCCCATTTATGGTGAAACTCGAACTCTAGCAGAGAACCTGTGGTTTAGGGGGTAGGTCCCTAGCTCCTGTTTGGAACTCCTGTACTCAGCACAACACAAGTGTAAATTATCTGCCCGTATCATTTTTTCATGTTGGGCTTACTTCGTGCTTGAATGGCCCGTAGGCCGTAACTCTAAATTTCCATCCATTTTTGACCCTATGGCCTATCCATCGTAAAGTAATTGTGACTTCACCAGGCCATAGTAATTTTCCAAGAAATATCGGGCTCGGCCCGCTCGGCGTCCCCATACCCATCGCTGACTTTCCTCATGCCCGCCGGAATTTCAGAACAACCCCGCCGGGCACAATAGTATTCTTCATTCATTTTAGATTTGGTCAACATTTGTTTGGATTTTAAATATTTTAATTCCAAAATTTCCGAAATTCCTGAAATTTTGGTGCCCCAGTAAAAATGTCCAAAATGAAATTGCAGACATCCTGCAGCATCAATCGATTTCTTTGGTCTTCTCCAGTAGTTTTGCTTGTTATTGCTGTCTTTTTATGGCGTGTTTTTCTGTTTTGAATTTATTGTGGATATTCATCTTGAAGATCAATTTGATCCTGACTCCATTGTTGGCTTATCTTGTTTCAATTCGAACCTGGTGCCCGTACCTTAATTTGGATCCATAAATGCAATATTTGCTAATTCAGTGAAGTGATATGACAATTGTTTATTCTATGCCAATACTAATAGTTACTATTCTATGCTGGTTCATGTAAAGGAACCGATACTAATACATCGTGCTGGTTGATTTGAAGAACCGGTACAGACGAAGGTCATCATTATTAATTTTTGTACTCCAAGAACCCGCACAAGTTAGGAGGGTTCCATATCAATACCAGTTTTTAGCTATAATAGTAGTGTGTGTACTAGGCACACCAATGGTTCGTAATGTTGAATAGTTACAAATTACTTTGGACCTCCTCTAGAAATATAGTCGTATTTGGGATATTTTAATCCAGATAAACAAGATACTGAACATGTGTTGTGAATAACGGAGATATCTGGTTTGGGATATTTTAATCCAGATAAACAAGATACTCAACATGTGTTGTGAATAACGGAGATATCTATGAACATGCTAATAATAGTAATATAGCATCATCCAGTAACATGTTTACCACTAAGGTGATTAGAGTAATATACCCATAGAAGCGCCAGAAGATGAGGCATTGTTGTTGTCGTTGCCTCCATTGTAATTGTCGTTCTCCGCTCCTTCAGTGTCGCCTTTCTCTCCGTTTGTTGCCATTGACGTAGAGGAAGCCGAACATGATGAAGAGGATGCAGTGCCGAGAGCACTCATGCGTACAACGCACTCTGAAAAACTTGATCACCTGACAACCCATGCAGGTTCTCCAGTGGACAGAGTTCTGAAGGCTTGCTCATCCTACTACCAACAACCGGGACTAAATGTTTTTTTTATTATTTTTTGCTGCTTGCATAATGATTTCCCCAAATCGAGTAGGTCCCGACATCCCCAAATAAAATTGAGATCCCCAAATCCCTACATCAAATCGATGTCACAGATCGAATGAACATACCATGTTTACATCACAGATATCCCCAAATCCTCACATCAAATTGATGTCACAGATGGAATGAACACACTATGTATATACGTTATAAATTCAGAGATCAAAATATAATAAGAAAAGGACACAAAAACAACAAAGACACAAACACATTCAAAAGTGGATCGATCGATGGAGATGACGGCAATGGAGGCTGCAGCCGCCTACACCCACCGCCTCCGCGCCGACATCGCCGAGGGCACCGGTCGCATGGCCCTCGCCATCGACGACCACGACGGAGGCCGCCGCCTCCGCGGGAGCCGCCACCCGCTCGCCGGCTTGCGCGCTCGTGCAGCCCGCCCACCACCCGCTCGCCGGCTTGCTAGCTCTGCCACCCGCCGCCAACTCACGCCACCCGCCTGCTCGGCTTGTTCGCTGCTCACTCACGGCTGCTGCGTGTGTGCACCCACGGGTAGGGAAGAGAGATAGAGGAGAGAGAGGAGGAAAGGAAGGGGAGGGAAGAGAGAGATGGAGAGATAGAGGAAAGGTCATGAGGAGATCTCGTTTGTGAGGAGGAGATGATAAGTGCGAGGGATTATGTACGACGCTTCGATCTTTAATCCCGGTTGGTATGACTAACCTGGACTAAAGATAGTGGGGGACCTAACGCTTTTTAAACTGGGACTAAAAATGATCTTTAGTCCCAGTTGGTAACACTAGCCGAGACTGCAGATCAAAAAGTTTTGTAGGGCTTTTTAATCGGGACTAAAAATGATCTTTAGTCCCGTTTCCCATTCGAACTGGGACTAATGTGATTTTTGCCATCCGGGCAAAGATCACTTCTCCGGTAGTGATCCTATAAGCGAATCGAAGAAACAAGCAAGATCAAGATAAAAGCAAACTGAATTGCAAATTGAATTGCAAATAACAATTTAATACAAACGATAAGGTGGGGTTATGAAGACGAGTAATTAAGCGGTCTAGCTGACACGTGTAGGTACAAGGTAAAATAGAAATAGCTAAAACATTAATCTTACATAACCCGAGAAACCCTGAAGGGGTACATAGCTATTTCTGGAGGTGGGAGGATGACCAAGGGGTCCCTAGGGTCGTGCTCCACTATGTTGTGGAGCACCCCACAAGTTCCCCACTTTGGTCGGGGTCCCAGATAAAGTTACAAGCTCATAGGCCCATTATAGATGACAACACCTTGTTTCCTTGATTGCGTCCGATTGATATAGAATTTCGAGACGAGGCAAGATCCGTTCGAAAGAGGAATAAAAATGCTATTTAGTCACGGCTCCTATTCGAACCGGGACTAATGTGAATTTTGCCATCTAGGCAAAGATTAATTCTCCAGTAGTGATGCTATAAGTAAATCGAAGAAACAAGCAAGAAGAAGATAAAAGCATTTTGAATTGCAAATAAAAATTGAATACACACGATAAGACGGGGTTCAAAAGACGAGTAACTAAGCGGTCTAGCCGAACGCATAGGTACAAGGTAAAATAGCAATGGCTACAACTTATCTAACATAACCCGAGAAACCCTGAAGGGGTACATAGCTATTTATGGTGGTGGGAGGACGACTAAGGTCTCTCTAGGGTCGTGCTCCACTGTGTTTCGGAGCACCCCAAATGTGCCCCGCTTTGGTCGGGGTCCAAGATAAAGTTATAAGTCTATGGGTCCATTATAGGTGATGCAACACCTTGTTTCCTTGATTGCGGCCGATTGATATAGAATTTAGAGATAAGGCTTCATCCGTTAGAAAGAGGACTTGAAGAGCTTTCCATCAAGTACTCACTAGCAGAAAACAGACATTGTATGCACATTTGTATGCTCGTTGATGTGGCATGGTCTCGATGTCCTCCAGTTGACTTAAGATGTGAATAATGGTTATACCTATGGTAGTCATGGTCACATTAGCGTGTACCGAGGAAACAGTAGAGTCAGGGAGAGATGAACAGAGTGGAGGGAGCTCCCTGTCTATCTCGAGGTGGAAGATAGTGAGCGCGAGAGAGACATTTAGGGAGTAATTCAACCAATTGATTGCTCCATCCGTTACTAGAGTAACGAATCTCCGTCAGTTATACCTGCCACGCCTCAGCTGCGGCCATGGCCCGACTCTGCACATGCGCATGTTCGTGTGGCAATCCCACCATCATCTTAACTGCTCAAGAGCTGCTCTCAATTAGCAACATGTTTAAGTTGAGGTCCCTCCTCATTGTTTTTGGAGGTAATATTAGAGCCTGTTTGGATCCATGTCACATCGGATGTTCGGACACTAATTAGAAGTATTAAATGTAGACTAATGACAAAACCTATTCTATAACCTTGGACTAATATAATTCATGAGACGATTCAATTGAGCCTAATTAATCCATTGATTAGCCTATGTGATGCTACAGTAAACATGTGCAATTATGGATTAATTAGGCTTAACAAATTTGTCTCGCGAATTAGCTCTCATTAATGCAATTAGTTTAGTAAGTAGTCTATGTTTAATACTCCAAATTAGTATCCAAACATCAGATGCGACAGGGACTAAAGTTTAATCCTTGGATCCAAACGCCACCTTAATCCTTTAATTTTAATTGTTGACCCATGGAATTTACTAGAAATAAATTGGCCGTAGCCCATTTAATTCTAACACCTCCAAGTGGCTAACCAAATGTCTGTCTAAGAATTTACGATTTTTTGTGAACTGTTTGAGATCACCTCTTATATAGCAGTGTCTTCATTAATCACTGTTGTCCTGACATGAACACCACATGAGCGCGTGAGTCACGCACGTTCATACTGCATAGGATATTGCAGTGTATCTGTCACTAATCAAGCAATAACTATAGAACTACAGATATCGCCCTCGTGCATATCTGTGGATCAGGAGATGCCAAAACAGCAGATGACGTAGACAATATGACGGGCCACATAGACCAATGATTCCTTGCTGTGTCTGCATCTCTAGCAAGCTATTGCAAATTTGCAATTGCAATGCTGAAGGAGATGGCCAAACCAGCTATACAAGATATATTGTCCCCTGACAGAAAGATTTATTTTCTAATGGAGGGAGTACTATATAGTATTATCAATTTTGATATTCTCTCCTTGGTTAGACCTGCATGTGTATAGAATATGACTATGTAATCATAC